TCCATTTGTATTATTCTCTCTGCAAGTACAGTAAAAATTATGAACACCGTGTGGGGTAAACTGTGCAAAATTTGTGAAAGAAATATTGCAAACCAATTTTCTAACTGAATATCGCTGTATGTAAAATACCGACAACAAACACCTTAATCTCTACTTACTCCCTAAATATTCTATTTGTATTATTCTATTTATAAGCACAGTAAAAATTATGAGCACTATGTGGGTACGATATGAAGAGTTTGAGGAAGAAACTTTGCTGACCAATTTTCCAAATGTTTCCAATTGTATGTTAATGTGTATCATACAAGTGTAAATATAGAATGAAAATTATGAAAAATATGGTCATTGCGTGAGGACAATGTGGAAAGCATGAGGAAGAAATGTGGAATACCTCAAGACCTCTGTAACTATACTAATTAGTAGACCGAAGATGTTCATGCATTTATGGCAAGTGAAAATAGAGGAAAATGTAGGAGGATGTGCATAATTTCAAAAATATATCAAATATCAGGAATAAAATTCATGTTTAGAAGATATACTTCCAATTAAATCTCAATTATCACTATTCAGAAGATATTTTATTTAGATCCCATTTACTACTGTTTAGAAGGTTACATTCATTTATTTTTCAATTACTACTGTATGAAAGATATAATAATTACCCCTTTTTAAATATGGAAGTTTAATTTCCCTTTCTTCAATTCGTCCACTATTTAAATATAAAAAAATGAATTTCTTCTTCTTCTTCTTCCTCTTTTACTCCTGCTTAAATACGAAAAATTAATTTCTTCCCCCTCCATCTTCTTGAATTCGATTGCTACGTAAATATAAAAGATTACTTTCCCTTTCTTCGATTCGCCTACTATTTATATATATAAAAAAAAGAAACTAATTTCCTGTAACTCGATTACTTTGCTAATGATTCAAGGAGTAAATAGTCGAAGATACAATTGAAAAATCAGAATAAAAAGTAGCGTAAACATGTAACTAATACCACGAGATAAATAATAGCAACGAAGTCGATGGAAAGGTAGGCACGACACTGTGTCCGCTTAGGTGAACGCGATACGGTGAATGTATTATAAGAAATTCGAGAGCAAACTACCGGGTTACTAAGAAAACTGGACCACTGTTTTCGAATGCGATCAAATGGACGAAGATAATTGTACCCGTTGTAAACAATGATCACAACTTCAAATCCTGTACACATAACAATTTAATTTAATTCATCTCTTCTCTCTCGATCTATACATTTTAATTCTCGACAAATTAATAGAGAAATTACATTAGAAAATGTAATAATTGAAATGTATTATAATTACGATAAATAGGAAGTGATAGTAATTTTAAAAGAAGAATAATATATTATAAATATATTATATATTTTGAACATGAATTTAATCCTTGCAAATTAAACAATTTTAACAAATAAGCAACAGTCCATAGTATGCATAAAATAAAATTGGTATTAATAAATTAACCACGATGTTACTATATTAATTTCTATGCTGATATACTTTGTATACTAATTTAATCATAGAAAATTAAGCAAAACGTTTCCATAGAAAATTGTATTAATTGTTGTTTAGTATTAACCTTGACTTAATATCAAGTCATTCCCCTTTTAATATAACAAAAATCAATTTCTTTTTCTTCCCTTTATTTTCTACCTAAAATCTACCTATCTGAAAAATTAATATACCTTTCTTTAATTATTCTAAAATCTTTGAAACTACTAATATCCTTCAATCAGCGAAATTTACGATAATTGAATTTGGCTCGTACAAACTTCTTCGAGCAACCGCGTTTATGGTTACGATAAATCCCGATTTGTCGGTGATTTAATCACACCGCCGAGGATTCCACACGATTTTCAAACTGGATCAGTGGCTAGGTTTTGCTGTTGCAACAGACAATCGCCCTCGCAATGAGAATTTCTCATAGCCGTATGTTAAGTTTAGGCGTGTGTATGTGTGATACTCGTGTGACTAAGTGCGCGCGGCAGACTGCAACATAAACGCGGTTATGCTCCTATAAGCCGGCGTGGGAAAGGTAATCGGTCAGAAGAAAAGCAGACAGTATAGCGAGCATGGGGCGGCGCGCTCGCTTTCAGTCTCCTGTTATGTGATTTAAATAATTTTACAGCGGAAGCTGAACTATTTTTTCAGGATTCCCCTTCGATTACGTAATCGCGATCGATTCCTCCGAAGCAGAGATCCAGAATCGAAGGATCGAAAGTGCTGATTCAAGCCACGAGCTTCTAATCAATTGATTGTCACTTTAATTCGTTTAACTTTCTATAACTCGAATTATGGTCGCCTTCTGGAAAAAATCTAACGCAGCCTTAACCCAGATTTGACTCGTAGGGTGTTTCGTTTAACTTGGAACGGTTAAATGTAATTCGCGAGGGAATGAAGATATAAAACAAATGTGTTTGCAAAAGTTATTTAGGGAGAGTGGTTTGTTAAGAAATACATTTTGAAAACAAGCTTGATGGATTAAAATGAATAAATTTTCAAGGTGATTGTAAAGATCTTTTAAAGATAGCTGAATGTTTGTTAATATTATTAATACTATGTCCTATTTCTTCTATTTAAATTGTTATCATTCATCTTCTGTTTAGTGTGATTATTATACATTTTGTTTTATCAAAATTGATAAATCAGACCCGACCTGACCCGACCAATCAGAGCGCACGGATACCGGTAGAGCGGCCGCGGTAGCTAGGCGGCCGACCAATCAGAGCGCCAGTATACCGTTGTAGCGTTCGCGGTAGCGTACGCTACGCGCTGGGCGGCCGACCAATCAGAGCGCGAGTATACCGGTGGAGCACCGGCAGTAGCGTACCCTACGCTTCATTGGCATACTCGCGCTCTGATTGATCGGGGTTTTTTATTAATATCTCCTCAACGAAGACCCGAACAACATTTTCGCTAAGGAAAAATTTGTTTCAAATCACCCCCCGAACCACTTCTTTCAAGGACCTCCAAGATTTTTGGTACACCCTGTATATACTATAATAATACATAATAATATACATAAAATTTTAAACAGTTTTTACTTGTTTTTATTATACAAAGGTTTTACTTGTACTATAAAAGGTTTAAGAAAAGAAAAGAACGTCGTCACGTTAAAGATTGGCTGACGCCACTTTCAAAACATAATTTAGAGATTACTTTCTTTCAACATTGGAAACATTAAGAGAAGAAGTAGAAAAACTATCTGAGTTTATAATTATTATGAATTATTGCATTCGGATCACTAGCTACGCAGAATTGATTGAAGACATACCATAATATTTTCAACAGTTTCTCTCGTGGCGCGCTACCCTTTACTAAGCACTGTTGCTACCCGTGTAATTGTTATACTGATTTTACTTTCTTAAACTTTTGCTGGACACTTTCGAGTGATAGTAGCTTCCTCTTTCCACTTTTCCAATAATTTACCGCTTTCTCTGTACATTCCAGTTCACAATTCAACCTTTCTTAACTACGTTATGGCTCTCCTTTATCCGATAAAGGTTCCTTTGCATCAAATAGATTCGAGGATGATTCATTTTCATTAAAAAGATTACAAGCTCCGCTTACAATTTCGGAATTTATTATATTCTAATTTTATATTTTTTCCTGCATATTTATATAATATTACATAGTAATATTCATGATTTAACTTCTAATTGTTGATTTGTACACTAATAATGTACTAATATTAAGTTATTTTAATAAATAGAAATACCGAAAAATGTCGCGCCATTTATTTGCAAACCGCCCAAGTTGTCGTGAAATAGTTCCCATTTCCCGTCGCTAGATGGCTCCATATTGTTCGCGATTTCTATTTGTTTAAAAAACATGATATCGGTCAATTATTAGTATACAAATCAACAATTAGAAGTTAAATCATGAATATTACCATGTAATATTATATAAATATGCAGAAAAAAGTAAAAAGTGTGAATGTATGAGAAAAATTAGTTCAGTCGGCGCCCTTAGATACATGAACATTAATAAAGTTTCCGGTAATAGTTTCGCTTCTCTGTTTCAACTATATGTTTAATGGCGTTTCCCTCTCTTTAGTCAGAGCGGGGAACGTTCGACGCAATGCCTGTTTGCGGTGTTTTGCGTTCTGTGTTGTCGGTTTCATTCAGTGCAATAGTAATTTTTCTTCTGCAAAATTTCAACGTCTTGAAAGTGCAAGCCTCCCTTCCACCGGGAGCTGGTCAGTGTCCATTTTATAACATCGAGCATTGACAGTTCTTGTCTGCTACGTAAACAGTTTCAGATTATTTGACATTACATTCGAAATAGCTATATCCTGAAATTCGCAATTTGCTTTGTTTGTTTTTATTCGTCTCTTCCATCTTTCCTAGAAAATTTTAAGTTGTCTTTCCTCTATATTGTTACATCGCACATGGAATACTGGAGGCATATTTAAAATATGCAGAGACATTACGAATTTTGTTTCAATGCAACAAGTTTCTTTTGATCGCTCAATTTTCGTATTTCTTTTATAATGTTTGTGAACAGTGACATTATGTGAATTGACTTTTAAATTTTTCTGTCAGATTAGTCAATTAAATTACGAAATCAATGTTCAGTTGACAATTTTCTTTGCTATAGAGCCCAAAGTGAAATTGTAACATGAAACACAAATCGTATTGACTCGAACTAGTCGACTTTATGTCATCCAAGAAAACTTAGGCAATGTAGACAAACTGTAAAAAGTAGCTTAAATAATTCAACGATAAGCTGAAGGTGCGTATCGACCAATCGATACTATTATCACCATTACGCTTCCCAGCACACATAACCTAACGTATTATACGTGTAAGTCAGTGTAAGTACATAACTATTATTTTCTACTAGAAGAAGTCAGCTTTAAACAAATTAAGAGTATTCTCTACAAATAAATTATCTGAGAACGTAATAAATATTATCAGTTCCTATTGATGGTTTCAATTTTCAAAGGTTCCAATTACTTCCATTGGAATAATCATTTAGCGATGAACAAACTAAACTAAATTGAATTTAAGCAACTGATGATATTAGAAGAAATTTAAACCACTGAAAAATATATCATACACTGTATATTATACAGTGTAATTATACATCTACATAAAATTATTTAATTATTATTCTATACTATATATATTATTTCACTAATTGTTTGCAAATTGTATTTGATTCCAGAGGATGAAATAATTGTAATCGAGCACCTGCCAGGACGTCGAGTGCATCTGCAAGATTTCTTTTGGACAGATGCTGAAGATGCTCCATCGTGGATAGATTTAAACCGTGCATTTCATGATACCAGGACAATTCTTCGCACAGTTACGCTCTACTTGCCTGTGGAGGAGGAGAACTATGAACCCCATCAATCCGAACCTCATACACCACAATGTACCACTTGTATCAAACCAACTCCTACATTGGATGATAGAGAGGATAAAAATATTGGCATCTTAGTTGGGGATGATCCTGGACCAAGGTTCTTAATTTTTCAACCATAACAACAAAATGTATTTTTAAAGCTGCATAAGAATTGTCAAACCTCTAGTTAGTTATCCCTTACCTTTGTGAAACTTTTTGTGAAGTTATCATATTATTGAATTGCATGTGTAAATGTGTGAATGTAAGGTAATCTTATTCATCTTATATCTGTGTTTATGAATATGTGTTTGTTTGTTATGTTTTAGATACTGGTTGCTAACAGTTCTTCGCGCTGGTGAAACTGTACCGCCTAACATCGAGTTAAAATTAGCGCGTTTATATCGAACTGCATTCTCAAGACATCAGAAACATCACCTGGGTCTTTTACAGACGATTCCGCTAGTTCAAAGAGACATAGGAAAACGAATGCTCGTTAAAAGCAAGGTGAACTTCTTAAACAAACTTACTATATCTGTTATTAGAGAATTTCATTGGAAGTTTTATGTTCTATGAATTGTATTTTATCTTTAACTATGTATTTAATATATATTCTTAGATTACAAAAGGATTGCATGCTACTCAAACATTCACAATTGCACACAATTCGGCCATACACTCGTTTGTTTAAGAACAATTGAAGAAGTAACAGTTATACAAAGAAGAAAAAAAGTCAAAATAAAACAGTGTTCACATTACAACACATACAGTGGCAATTGTCCAATGTAAAGACACTAGAATGGACCAATTTTCTATATCAACACCAACGATGAGATGATCTTGATTTGGTTTGCTCAAAAGGGTTAGACACTTTTATCTAGGAAGATTTTAAACTGTGCGTATATCTACTCTTGCAAGTAAAAATCAAGTTTCCAATAACTTTTGTTAAGTAACTTGTAAATTGAATTATATTATACTCAATTATTAGCATTTTTTTAAATCTACAAATCTTCTTCCATTTATCAAATAACGAACCATTCAAGCTATTCCTGTTTCCATAGAAAAAAATATAATGATATTGACACTTTTATCGAATATTCACAATAGAACTAACATACCACAGTGAGAATGCTGCATACTATTTAAATCAACAATAGGTATAAGACTGAGTACCGTTTTATTTATCTTTCAGGTTTCTCCCAACAATCATCCAACATCCAAAAAGCAAGTGTTGAATGACATCGAAGAGTTGAAAGAAAATAAACATTTGGATTTGCACTTACTCAATTATTCTGCAGAGGAGACTGTTCAAGTTAGAATGCAAAATACAAGTGTGACCGAAAGTGGCTCCACAAGGTTGATTTACTCCGTCCACTTGGGTGGAAAACCTGTACCTGCTGAAATAGCTGCCAAAGACATGGCTCTTTTGTCGCCTCAGGAAGTTGCGCTAGAACTTGGTGCGCCAGTCCTTATTCAGAGTGAACGTAAGTCCTTAGTGAACATAGTAAACGTAGACCTTATAAAGCTGAGACATAAGAAATCTTTGCATACTCTATTAAAATTTAAAATGATTGTTAAATATATTTTTTTGACCATACAGCATATATAAAAGAATCTCGACCATTGGCACTGTCAAGAAAAAGAGATGCATGGCTGCTGGTTGGTGCAGCAAGTGCTGGCTTTGTTCTTTTGGCCGTTGTTCTTGCGGTATTAATTTTTACTGCGAGAAAGAAAAGGTCACACGGTGCAGTAACTGCACCACCAAACCATGGTCTTCTAAAGAAAAGACAATATTATGTACCGAAATTAGCTGGTTCGAGCAACACTGCTTTATCAACACCAGAAATGGAAATTAAGGTATCCTTGAAATTTCAATGATTTATGAAACCGACTATAGTACTATATGTTCTTCTAATCTATTAAATTTATCATTTTTGTTTACAGACGAACGATAGCGAGAAACACACTTTGGAAAGTGTGCAGAGATCTCCAATTAGTCCTCAAACTCATGACAGTTTTACTGGAGACATTTACAAAGTTTCAAGCGAGAAGGATGATGAAACAAAAAGAAGAATGGGAGAAGCAAGTACTTGGGAGCACTCTTCTAAAAAGAGAAGGTATATATGAGAAATACTTCAATACACAAATATTTTTCCATTCAAATATTATCAAATTACGTATTTGGTATCTTTTTAAAATCAACTCTCAGATCATGCATTTTTTTTTTTATGCACTACCACTTCCATGGTTACTTAGCTCAATTTAATAAACAGTATATTCATGAATAATTGGATCTACTAAACAATTCTTAATTCCAGATTGACGCACGGAAAGATTTCAAGGACAAATGCTATAGATGTGCCCAGACCTTCCAATTCAATCAACACGATAGATAATTCAAAAACTCTTGAATCTTTGGAAACCAGTTACACGAGACAAGAAGCCATAGAAGAAGCTACCGCTTCACCACATTCTTACCTTTCCATGCCATCTTGTAAACAGTTCCCCAAGTTGAAAAGTGTTGAACCTTTGTCTAGAGTTTTAGAACCTGTCATGGTACGCAATAATTTTTTTTGTATGATGAAAGTTATTTTAAATTTGAATTTTTATTTAAACATTTATTTTACAGGTCAATCATTTAGACATTGATTCTCCAGATCTACCTAGACGAGACAATAATGACAATGATACGGGTTTTTCGAGGAGTTTAAGCTCTACCAAGGATCCTGGAGTTGTTGGTCCTATAGTTTGGAACCTTCAAAAACAGATATTATCTACTGAAGGTATAATTATTACAGTGATTGACTTCTTGAATCAGTCTTGAAACATTTGACATTTACTTACTTTTAGACATTATAAATGAAAATATTGTTTGTTTAATTCGATTTCTCTTGAATTGTACGAATAAATTTTACTTTCATCAGATACATCAGAAACCGATGATCCAAATTACATGACATCGAAAACACCTGTTGGTCGAGCAAGAAGAAGGCTCAACGAACTCTTAGAAGATTCCTTCAGTCTCTTCGGAACTCGAGATCCAAAATCAGAAATACAATCGTGTACACCGCGACCAGCTTCTGCTATGTATACACCAGATGTTCTTACAATCTTTTCAAAGACCAAAGGAAGGTCTTCTCATATTAGGTATTTTTCTATATAAAGTAGTTGGTTTATCCAAGCCGTGTTTAAAACTTTGTTTATGCTTCCAGCTCTGCATCCTCGCCAACAATGGAAATGAAGTCAAGTCTTGATACGCTATTGGCAGAAAAGCACTTCGAAGGAAACATTATGGAAAATAGTCATTCGGTGCCGATTCAATCTCACAGCACTTGGGGTACCAGACCGTTGAGTGCTGGTCCATTTCACAGACCTAATCTACCGAGTATAAATAAAAAATCCATACTGTTAGACTGTCAACTTCCACAAGAAGATCCTGCGGTTCCATTAATTGCTTCGATTAAGAAAGAACTTAAAAAATTTTCGTCTCAATAATCGGGCTACAGAGATACAATAAACAAGAAATTAAAAATGATTATATATCATACAATAGATACAAGAAATGATTTAAAACAGTACTAATATCATGTTTGTAGTGACGTGTAAATATCTGACAAATTTTTATACTCAATGGAATACGTTCATTTTAAAAAGTTGAACAAGTAAATTTATCATATATAAAATATTAATCTACATCATGTATATATGTATTCACACCATCGTAATTTAATATTTTATACAAACTTTCATTGATAAAATAATGTTGATATCGTACGAAAAATCACTGCTTCTATTATAGTAGATAATTATAAAGACAAAAGAATAATTATTTAAAAATATTATGTATCTCTTTACTATAATGTATGTCTATCTTAAAATTAGTTACGCAAAAACAATCAACTATATTACATTAATTGTTTCGTGTATCGATTCGTTAAAAAATTTATTATATCTTTCATTCTTGTACATATCATAATTTGATATAAGCGAATTGTTTATAAGGAACACAATAAATTCATCTTTTTTACTAGAAGATATTCTATCTTCTCCATTTTGGGCCCCTGAAATAAAATTTAACCAAATTCACTCCTCCACGCTTCTTACACTTTCCAACAAAAATCGTCCCGCAGTCAAAGGGTTAATAATGGCTTATGAATAACAATACATCCGTAATATTTTATTATTCAAAATATATCTATACAATATAATTACAAAAATATATCAATTTACACTAATTTCATTAATCTGGTATACTTATTTACTGCAACCCTTATAACATTTACAATTGATACTCTTGCATATGTAAACGCATTAAAGTACATCACGTTTTTTTCTCGCTTTAGAGCGATCAGCGTTTGGTTTAATGGTAGACGTTTCGTCTTTTGTATCAGTGGACGGATCGATGTAGGTAAAGACAAAATTTTTTTGGTTGACGGATGACGCATGCATATCCTTTTGTTTCGCCACGACAGCCAAACGTGCCAGCGATTCCTCTCCTCTGGCGAGAAAGGAACGTTTCTTCATAACACTCTGAAAAAATCAAACAATTTTTAGATAATAATCGCGATAGTAAGAGTTTGACCAAGGATGTGCATAATTATTAAATTTCTCACTCGTAGCACACTTGTACCGCCTTCTAAATTCGAACATTTCAACATTTCGGCTATAGTGTAAGGTATTCTTGATCCTCTCGAGGAATGTTGCGTCTCCACCAACGTGTTTTGCGTTTGAGACTCGTCGATTCGCTTCTTCTTCAGAATCTTCAAGCCAAATTTAAATATCTCACTGTCACCTAAGACGTCCTCGAACTCGTTCTTTTCGTTCCCCTAAAGACAGTTCAACAAATCCTAGTTCAACAAATCTTTTGCCAATGACATTTTTAAAAGAAAAAGAGATTTGTTTAAAAATTCTAGACTAACATACCTTCTTAATGAAATTTATTCATTACCTTTTCTGCCAGGAATTTCTCTCTTTCGTATCTCTGTTTACGCCACTTTACTTCATCCTCTTCATCCGATAAGTCCACCCAACCATCCTTATCCTCTGATGGTGTGAAGTCATCGTTACCATCCTGTTTATCTGCAACCAACAGAATAATTTAATATTGCCCTATCAATGACAGCATCCAATTAATTGTTTAAATATACTCAATCACACTCGACCATACCTATATTCTTCCATTTTAGTTTCCGCTCTCTGACACTCTCTCCAAACAAATCCCCATCTTCGAACAGCAATTCCTTGAGCATATTCACTTCCTTCTGATCATCATCCAATACTTGCCTCATATGAAGCTTCCCCAACTGATTTTTCATCTCTGCCTCATCGATTTCTTCATTGTCTCCTTCTTCCAATTCCAATTTATCCAAATCCTCTTCGTTTTCATCTGCAGAGACATCACAGTCGCTTTCACTGAGCTCAGCTTCCTCCTCCAAAAAATTAGCAGCGTATTGCTTTATGTTCTTTGCAGGAACTATTACTTCATTCTCTTCAGAGTCATAGTCGACGTATTTATCATTATCATCTTCTGGTTCCTCATCACTGGATACAGAAGAGCCCATCTCATCCTCATTATCAGAAAGGTCCAATTTCTTCACTTTCCTCTTTGACGACTTGCCCATTTCCTTCTCTATCTCGTCTTCTTCATCAGAGGAAACAATGCTCAGTTTATTCCAAAACATTCTATTTTTCTCCGATTGCTCTTCGTTTTGTGTATTTGTCTCAATCGATGATGAACCTTTTTCTATTGACTTTGATACATTTAAATTTTCAGCGTTGTTTACTTGAGTAGTAAACGTCCCTGAACATAGTTCCAACAGTTGCGATTCGGTCACCTCAGGCTCCTTGGATAAATTAAGATTACCCTTGTCCTGCGTGAACCTACCAGAGCATAACTCCAGAAGCTCGTCATCTAACGTAACAGTTTGATCGAGGAACAGCTTCCTCTGCAACGTTACTTCTTTTTTAAAGTGCTGCGATGACTGGAACGATTCTTCGTCCTGCGTACTTCCCAAGAGAATTCCATTAGATTCGTTAACAAGCGATTCTTCTTGTACATTCACCCCCTTTTCAGACTCCAAGCGAGTATTCAACGCTGTCAATTGCGTCAAGGGAGAAACGAAATTGAAGCTGTTAATCTTACTCTGGGGTGTTTGACTCGCTTGATATTCTGAACTGGTTCCAACATGCCCTTGAGACACAGGAATATCGCTTTCATTGTCGCTAGCAGCTTCGTTGAACATGTCTACGCTTGCTAGTTGCAAAAAGGAAGTGTTTTTATCTTCATTTACCGCGTCCATATCGTTCTCCGCACTCGAAGACCTCGAATCATCTTCAAAGGGTCCCGTGATTCGTTTAAACGTTTTATGTTTGGAAGATGCATTAATACTATCGCAAGTACTGCTATCTTCTTCTAAAATTAGTCTTTCACATTCCTTTCCATCATCTTCCAAGTTTTCGTCTTCATCTTCTTCTATAATTTCATCCCTATCGTTTTCTTCATCATCGCTGACTTCAGCTTCGGAGTCTATGAAGTCACATTTGCTTCTCTTCTTCTCTTTCATCACATCGTCTTCTTCTAATTCATCCTCATCCTCTTCTTCATCCTCATCTTCCTCCTCTGCTTTACTTTTGTATGATTCTATGCTTGGAGAACATGGTACGTTGAAATCATCTTCCTCGTTGATGGACTCGTTCCACTCGATTTCTTGCTCCTTCATCTCCTGTTCTTTCTGTTTCCATTCCTCGTCGCGCTTCAATGCCATCTTTTGCTTCAATTCCTCCTTCAAGTGTTTCAACTTCGCTCCAGGTTTGTTCATCTTGGGATCTTCGTTTTCTAGACTGGATAATTTGTAGGGAAGTATTTCTTTGGTTATCGACAGGCCATTCGAAGATTGTTTAACTTGTATTACACTAACATCCTGTTCGTTTTTGGTTTGTTTATTAGTCTTGGAATGTTTCGACATAAACCGATCTATCAAAGCGTTTACTCCTTTCTTGTTAGGTTTAATATCATTCGTTAAATCGATCATTATACCTGGTGAGCCCCTGATTTTAGGCTTCAAACTTTGCACGTTCGGTAAAAATTTCTTTCCACTGATATTTGGAGAGATGTCTAATTTAGGTGGAGGTAAACCGTATTCGTTGTAGTCGTCTGACTCCTCTGTAACTATTCCTAAGGATTGTTTTACAATATTCGCATAATCACTGATAGAGTTCGAAGTGGATGCATCAGAGGATTCGTTAGCAGTTTTCAAATTATTTGCTTGATCGATACTTTTCATCGTAATTTTTTCGTCGTTTTTATTTTTATCTTCGATATCTTCCTTTTCTGGTAAATTGTCTACTTCGGTCATCTTAATCTCTTCAACTGGATTTGTTATTCTTGTGTCAAGGTTGTCATTAATTTCGTAATAAGAATCCGATATTAAGTTATTTCCTATTCTATTCATTTCATCGTGTGTGATCGACTTGGTACTTTCGATATCTTTTGTTTCGATTAAAATTTCGTTCATTTCCTGTGTTATAGAAGCATTGCTATTTTCTTCTTTATTATCAGTAAACAAATTATCATCGACGAATAACTTCCTCGATGCATTATCTTTCTTAAGTTCTTGTGTACTTCCTTTATTTGTGTTTTCTTTGTCCGGCAAAGAATGATTTTCCGTTACTTCTTCTTCTGAATCCGAAGACTTGTAAAATATTTCAGCTTCTTTCTCTTTCTCTTTCAGGACTTTGCTGTTTGACGAAAAAAGAGCAAATTGTAAGGTTGAGATATAATTCAAAATTAATATACTGATTATTGTAATATAGCATTCAAAATAAATGTACTGAAATTACGTACTCGACAATAGCGGAAGACATTTTCAATTTCGCTGCCATTGTAGGAGCTTTTGGAAGAACAGATAATACCTTCTTTCTAGTCAAAAATTCTTGCAGCGTTCGTTGCCTTGGCTTGTGGTAGGGAAGAGAAATCTCTGTTTCTCTAATCAAACGCTGCGTCTCGCTTTGTATTTGTTTCATGGCTTCATCTTTCGCAGCTCTCAACGAAACCTAGAATACAATACCATTTCTATTAATGTTACATATTACAAAATTGACTTGCAATTGATACTTTAAAATATCGAAAAAATGTATTAAAATACGGTGAAACTTTTCAGGTATTTACTTTTCTTGTCTTGGATTCGCGATTTCCTTTCTGCTTTGCCTGTTTGCCGCTTTCTGCTGGATGCAATTGTCTTTCATTTTCATCTTCCGATTCCGAATCTATTAGGCTTCTAAATCTATCTTGCACCTGTACAATGCAAATTTGAATAATCATTTCAATTATGTATTATTTGTACATATACATATATGGTACAATTCTCTTACTGGCTTCTCAAAAAGGCTATCTATCTTCTGAAAATTACGAGGGTAGCATTAAGTTAATGGCAAGTTTAGTTCATATATATTTATTATGGAATGACTCAAAAAACACTAGCTTTACAAGAAGCTACCAAGATAATTACCAAGCATACATATTTGCCATACTACTTACACTATTTGTACCCATTTTTCCATTTGAAACTTCTTCTCTGTTATCAGTAGCATTAATATAATCACAAGTTTCATCAGAATCCCTATTAACAAATATCGCAGTAATAGTTTTCTTATTCGAATGTGTATTAGACTTAGTACTTTTGTTGAAATCAGAGGTTTCATCTTCTGAACTATTGTAAACAGGATTCTTCCTTTTTGGCTTTGAAATAAATGTATCCTCTTCTTCAGAGTCGCTGTCTACTATACTTGAAAACTTTTTGAAAATATTGTTGTGCTCCAGTTCATTTCCATGCACAGGATCTTTGTCAATTTCTTTTACGGATTTATTAAAAACATTGGTGTCAGCATCGCTGTTAATGTCATTCATTTCTAAGGATTTGTTTTGCAATTTGTCTGAAGGATCTGCTGTCGCACTATCCACTTTTGTTTCTTTCATTTTGGTATCTAAGTCAGATTCCTCGTCACCATTTGGATAGTTAACGTCACAATTTTCAGTCATTTTCAAAGTAATTTGATTCCTTTTCAATTTATTAGACTGAAAGTTATAAAGTCAATAGTTGCACCAAAACACACGTTGGTATCTGTCATTGTTTGTTACAAAATTATTAAATTATAGTGTGGTCATTGTTTGTCATTGTTTCAAGATACATGCATATCAGTTGTAAATAAAATAGAATTACAGAAATTTATTAAATAATATTCAATTAATAATAAGAAGATTCAAATCAGATCCAATCCGTGCTATTAAAAAATTACGTTATACCACACTGCACATCACGATTTCCAACTTTCCAACTGTAGTCTTTTTTACGCGAATCGGTATTTTGATTGTTGAGATTTGGCGCGAAAGTAAAGATTGGTTCGGTTTTAGGTTATGGTACATAGAATAAAAAGTTCCTATAAGCACGTGCTCTCAGTTGAAGCAAAAGTAACTAATTTTAAATTTTCTGTCACAACATCGATACTGATCAATACTGCTCGATACAATTACTATACATAAAGAATGGTATAGATCTGCGATGTCTCTTTTTGTTTCTTGAACGTTGTTTATTTATAAAATTGCACAGTTACATATTTGGTATTCTTAGTCTAATATAAACAAAGAAAACGAGAAAAAGAGATTATACAGACTGTTACAGACACCTGTTACGTGGTAAATTACAGATTTATATCTTGTAAAATATTTTAATAAACGCTATATAAATAAAAAGAATATGTATTTTATGCAAAAAGGAGGATATTCCACTTGATTGTTTTCGTAGTTTTCACAAGTAAGTTTTCAAAACTACCAACTACTACAGTAATTGAATATAAGTTTATTTAATGTATAACAATATTATTAATTATTATTAATTATTAGTATAAATGTAATGTATAACAATATTGTTTATTTTCATATTTCACTGCTAAACAGGATCTATAGACCCTCAACAGGTGCCCGATGAGCACCCCACCCCACTCCTGTAGGAGGACGGGATAGTCCCAAAACAATCCCCAACAAGTCCCAAAATAGGAGTATTTTTAAAAGGTTTGTTAATAAAACTGAACGAAAATAATATTTAGGTTGTTAGTGTTATATTTTATGACGATAAAGCGCATGCCAAAGTGTGTAAAATATTCGGAGCTAATTTTAATTACATTAATGAAGAAAATTTGAAGACTTTTATAGATAACCCAACTACTTCTAAGCCTGTATATGTATTTTTTTATCCGTGTCATATATGGTAAAGTTAGTTTATAATTATTTTGAATTAAAAGGACCCATTATTTTATTTGTAAAGAGTTTGCATGATAAGCAAAAGCATGAGTGCTTACATTGGGTCTGTAAAAAAATATCAAAGTGGATGGTAAGAGGAATAATTCTACTAACATCAACTTTCTCTGCTGTTTAATTCACTAGAGCTTATTGGTTTGGATTACAGGTGACTTCATTAACAATAAAAGGAGTAAAGGTGGAAGTACACTTGTGGAATTATTTTGTTTTTGGTAAATTCATCAGTTTCTTCTTTGGTAGATCGGAGAATTGATCCAATTGCCAGCTGGACCGTAGTTGCACACTAGGTAGTAGTTACTCCCTTCACCATTCTGGTAGATGATCTTACCGCAGCCGATCTTATACGAGTCGGCCCAGACTAATTGAGTGTAGTGACCCACGCCGTTAAGGTTCCTGATAAAGTAAAGTAAACGAGTCGTGAGTACTACTTCAGAAATCATGGCGTGGAAGACTTACGTCAATTTGTCCACCAGGCGATTATCCATATTTTCCACTTCGTTGTACCACGCCGTTATCAAGTCCGACGGTTTGGAGTTTTGTTGTCCAGTAGTCCAGGTAAGCGCCACGTTCTGTCCGACTCCGAAACGTTCTGCAATGCAATTAAATAGCATTTCGCCATTGAAGAGATGACACTCTGTTCCATAGCAACAAACGTTCATGCATCAGAGAGTTAATTAGAGCCTTACCGACACTTCTGCACGAGTCGTGTCCGAAGTTGCATTGATTAGCCCACCTCTGGGCTACCGTGGCCAATTCGTCGTCCCAAGACTGAAACGATTCACCAAATCGCTCGATACTGACTTTCTCAATATATACAATCTTGCCATGATCAGTGGACGATTTATGATTAAAGGAGGTATTTAAGAAGAAACATACGTAAAATTAGAAATGGCGGACTAAAATCTACAATAATCGACGGATTTCGATGAAAATCGAAATCGGATTTTCTAAACGCTGACATCAGATTCGTGAAAAAATATCTCTTCTAGAACCGATGCAACACTTTATTTTAAGACATATAATCCTGTTAACTATTCGAATACGTCAAAAATACTTTAAGATGACGTTTTCAACGTATTATACTGCAAAAGAATTCGACGTTTTGAAATAGTCAAGCTACCATAATCTTCATGTTCGTCGCTGCAGGTTGTGGTCCTGGGTTGCCTCTGTGTTCTGCACCGCTGGCCACGAACTGCCTAAGCTCGTTATGCTTGTTAACGATTTCATCCTTTTCGCTGTTAGTGAAGCCTGTGCTCTGGACCTTGCCACACGCTGGTGCTGGATTCGGGTTCTGGAGAAACGAAAATACTTCAGAATAAATTTTCATTCGGACAAAGCAAACCTGCATGGCCATTCTTCTCGTTTAATCGTAAATCTAGGAAAAATCGTCTATCTTAAAATAAACAAAATTATGTTAAATACTGACCGGATACAAGCACAAAGTTTGTGTTTGGCCATCGCGCGCGCATCTGTTATTGCTGCAGTCGATAGCTTCGCTTGGCATCGCCAAACACGCAATTGCAGCGACGAGGATGACCTTCATGGATGCCATTACTTTTGTTTTCGTGATTAACGAGTGGATATACCTTTTGTCGGGGATCAAAGCAATAAAACGGAAAAACAATTAATCGAGTAAAGTAAAGTGGCCTTTGTTTGAACGCTGCGGAAAGTGGGACCAATACTTTTACAATTTCGTTATAGTAGTATTATTTGAAGATGTTTGCTATGAATATAAATGATAACTGTATTTAAACATTAATTAATGCTTTTGGATGGATTCAACGAGCCTTCTCTACCTCAAGCAGGTATGCGAAGAGCGAGAGCTCATTCTTCGACGATCTGCGACGATCCTTCGAGCGGTATGGATCTCGCGATCGCGCATCCGCGTCTTGTGTCCCTCTTATTTTTGCTTATGTAGTATTGTATTGCTTATGTACCTTAGTTTAGTCTAGCTAGTTTTAAAGCATGGATGTACGAGTGTCTGTCCTTTGTCAAATAATTATTAATCATTTGTTCAATTCTTTTGTTTGTTCTTAGGTCCATATTGGACTCGCAACTTCGTTCTCCACTTCGGTTACTACTACTTGATGCTATAAGCAGAGTGACCAACCGTGTGAGACCTGGTAATCGGTATTATTCGTGACGTACAATCTTTAAGCTAACGGCTGCGTACTTGTAATAAGATCTTTAGATATAAGAAGTCCAAAATGTAAAGTGTAAAGTGAGATTAGATTTAGATTAGCAGGGACAAGTGTCTGGTACTAGTAGTTCGCAAAAGAACAAACTATCCAATATATACTTAGTATTCAGAAAAATTCATTTTTATAAATGATATATTAACATTAATATATTTTCATCAATTTTGTTTTCTTGCACTATATGAAATTATCCTATTTGTAATGTACTAGACAACCAAGATATTCAATATTTCGAGGCACTCAAAGTTATACAATCATTTAAAGATTATATCATTATGCAAACTACTTAACTTTGCGTATCTTTGCCTCTTGGTTCTAATCTAACGAGAGCAAACTCAACCTAAATTGTGTACACTAAATTTAAAAAGAAGCAAACTTTGTTTCATATTTACGAAACACTCGCGGAAGGATTGAAACGTAATAACAATAAACTCGCTTTACACGTCGTATTGTTTGACGAATAATATTAAACCAATGTCTAACCGTTTGCGATCTGAATTTTCTGATTTCAGTACATTTTTGTCGAACCTCACTCGACATAGGACCGCAAAGTGTTAATGGTCCACAAAAACAAAAATCAAAGAATACTCACTCAGGAAGATAATAAGCGAAGTGCAAAGAGAATGACACACTCTTTGGTACAATATTTGTCGTTTTTCCGTCTTTGAAGCGTCACCTGCGATTGCCAGCGGGACACAAGCTAATAGCGAACGAGCACGTTCGAATTTATCGCCGGCCTTATCGATCATTCGTAGAATCACCTGGTAGCCTACCGGTTAACTAGATTTTTCTTGCCTTGTGAATTTGCTAGTTCTAGAGAAATAAAAATCGATATCTGTACAAATTGCGAAAAAGTATACTCAAGATTCTACGAAGAAAGCGCTATCAAACGTTAATTACGATGTATGCTATGAGTTTTTGCACTTTCATTTTTCATTCTTTTGTTTAACGATAAAAAGAGTGGTAACATAAATTTTAATGAATGTGTAATCAATATATCACTGGTCGTCGACGGCTCGTCGTTGGCGGAGTTTTCCTGGAAAGAGATTTTTGTGTGAAAATTCTGTTATGAGAACGAGACGTAAAATAAAATAGGATCATTACAGATTTTTATGAATTTATGGGCGAATGCACAAGAATATGCAACAGTATTCTCTATTATGGCGTATTATTTTGTATTATTCTGTACTGTACTCTATTTTCATTTATTATTCTGGTATCATACTTTTTATATCGGATGTTAAATGTTATTAATATTGAATTAATAATATAAAAATGTATCGAAAGTAAAATTCATATTATAATATATCCGGAGTAAAATAAATTCCTATTGAGGCTCAATTTTTGTATGTACGCTTGTAAAGATATTTTCAGCATAAAGATGCGTTAAGTATCGTAGTCTAACTGATCTTGATGAAAAACAGTTTCAAGACACTGAATTTTGATACACGGTGTACAATAACAACTTAAAAGCGCTATCCTAATGAATTTTCGACAAATTCAAATAATTAACCGAATTGATTATTTATGAGATGCCTTGAAGTAAAATGACAAAGGTCTTGAACAACAAGGAAATAAACAAAACACTGCGTATCACTCTGACATTATCTAAGACGTAGTAATTATATGACAACGTTTTTAGTTTCCACACACAAAAATAGAATAATGGAACAATATTTCAACGACGTATCTATAGTTTGACAAGTGCAGTATGATTTATGAGAGCCTCTTGCATGAAATGTAAAACCAAAATGTAAAATTTGGCCAGAACTTCGATACGTAGCAGACATTTCTTATGCCACCTCTTCGCATATCATGTTCTCCTGATACCAAAATCTAAAATTCAACGCACAGTAGGCGCGGAGCCCCTGTTGAATGGCAACCGATTCTAGGCAGTTTGTAGGCCTGGTTGTGATATGGTAGGCGCAGAGGTGCCCCTGGTATGCGGCAACCTATACTATCCGGTTTGTCGGCCCGGTTGCCATCTCGTAGGCGCAGAGGTGCCCCTGGTACGCAGCAACCTAAGGTAGCTGTTTTATCGTTTCGGTTGCCGTCACGAAGGCGTAGAGGTGTCCCTAGTATGCGGCAACCTATACTAGCTGTTTTGTCATTTCGGTTGCCGTCACGTAGGCGCATATCCCTTTAATTGCAACTTTAATTGTATCAATTACTACCTCCTTTTATTAGAAATCATAATAAATGATAATTTAGGAATTGGTATTACGGAAAATATATCGTTATTAATACTTTCTATATTTGAGATTTGTTTTGACTAGTTAGTTAGGAAAGACTCTCTAACTGTATAATCTATCTAATCTGTCTAACAGTCCGTGGCTCTAAACATTCAACTAAAAAGAGAAAATAATCTTAAAATATCAAAAGTGCAACAAGAATTTGTTTAACTTTGTAAGAGTACTCTCCTGATGCAACTAACTTACCATAGACATTACATTCGAAAAGATTTCATTGGGAATAATCAGGATTGTTGTACGAACAGCCAATGCAGCCTGCAAGTTTTCTTTATTAAATACCAGTAATCGTAACGGAGAGAATCGTCAAATTAGGCACCTGCGTCTGCTCGAACGTTAAAAACGGATGTAAAAACGCAACAAGAGTTCAATTACGCGTGAAATTACACTGAATCCTCTCGAAAATAACAATTCAGCATAAAGCGTAAGAAACAGATCGTTAAAACACAAACGTTTTGTTACTTAAAACTGAACGCATTCGTAAAAATAGAGGTATTCCTCCAACAGATATGATACAAACTGGAAAAGGCGACAATCGATTGGCTTTAATATTCTTATTGCGGTAGGTATAATGCGATAATATTCGTCTTAATACTTGATCAGTAACTATAAAGAGTATTAAGTTAGCCACTCTAACCGAACTCGTTACTTTGGACGCACGTTTCGAGTGTTTTCCTTTTCCAAATATAATTGCAGAATCTCTGCGCATTAGTATCGGGTTACTGTATGCATATTATTCGATAAACGAGTACAATGTTTTTTTTTTTTTTTAAATCGGATACAGGAAAGGGTATGAATACGTCGACACGTTTACATTGTTTTTTTTCCTATTTCGTTGAATTTCATAGCAGAATAATCAGTACAGACCTAAAACAGACGACGTCGAACCGTTAAATACTCGTGCATTATTGTACACTTATTATTATCGAATATATCGAACATCATTTTCATATAAGATATTTCAGGCTTTCATGACCTGGTTCTTCATGGGTGATATTAATCAAGGTTTGTAGGTGTAAGTCGTGTTCTTTGGATAAGATACTCTAATATTTTGAGGCATGTTGTAGCTAGAGTCCTCGAGAGTCAAATTAGACAAAGTGATATTTACTAGGTTAGATCTAGATAGAGTCTGCGTTCTTTAAATTGGAAAAGAACCAATGACCGTGTGCTTTTATTTAATACAATTTATCAGAAAAACAATGCTCCAAACCGTAATTCTCTTTCACGTTCAGTTTGGAAGATATATTCATTCAAAGTTTGTTAAGAAGAAGAATTTGAACGATGGAAAACATAGTAATTCTCAAGTATTATCTATTATCTATCAATTTAAGTTTGACTTACTTCTACATAGCTATATCAATGCGTCGTTTGCCCCGTGAAGAGCCCAGCTACAATCCTGCTGAACCATCGAATAATCTCACCCCAAAGAACACGAATTACACCCAAAGAACTCGGTTATACATCATTCTCGTATAGTTCATAATAATAAAACGCCCGTAACGTTACATATAATGTCCAAATAATCGGGACCACCGTCCCAATTACCATTTCACACATTCTCCTAAGAAACAAACATCTGGAAAAGTCTTTTAAAACTCATACTCACTCGCGTGTGCATTTTAAAGGAACATCGTACACGTTTGTTGCAAACATCATCGTACACGTTGAGGAGCAATATCCTTATGCAATAAATTACACCTATCGTCCAACGTATAAAATCATCTCAATCTCTCTCCCTCTCCGACCTTTTTCTCTCTCTTTCACACACACACACGCGCGCACGCACGCACGCACGCACGCACGCACGCACGCACACTATTTAAACTCGAAAATTGTATTTTATTCGATGTACCTTCTCGCTCACACATTTCTCTCAACGTTTCTCTATCGTCGCTCGATGACTAGAAACATCGTTTCGCGGATATCATTTGGTAAAAAAATTATGCGAAAATGGAAAATAGTCGTAGAAAAAATAAACTCGGCCCGAGGCAGCATCCAACCTCGTTTCTGGAACACCATGGTTTGGCGATTGCTCTCGTCGAGGCGCGACGCTGCCTCCCTGGGGGCTTTCCTTTCATCTTGGGCACAGTAACTAACACACGCTTAGAGTCCTCGCGATTGGGCGGAGTACCTGGTCAACGGGGGAGTCGCTGACGGATTCACGAGCTCGCAAGACGCCCGTGGCTCGCTGAAAATAAATATTCTCTGCTGGACTTTTCCTGACTCCCTGGCAAACATAATTAATTCGTCTGTTCCGCGCTCTGCGCCTGCTTTTCGATCTTTCTCGCCAGCTCGGGGCTCATGTGAGGATGCGGGAACGGTAGCACCGGTTTCTTCAGGATCGTAGGCTTCACCTTAACCTGGGGCTTGAACGAGGACACCTGGCTGCCGCCTGTTAAGTGCATGTCCGCGAATTTCGCGACGATCTTCGGCGTGGAGCGCGGAGACCTGATGGATATCGAGTCGGACAGCTGATTGGAGCTGGCGGACCTGACCATCTCCTCGGACTCTTGTTCAGGATCGTTCTCAGTCTCCAGGCGCTTCAGCTTCGACCCTTCAGGATTCGTCTTCGTGTTTTTCTTGAGCGTGCACTGGTTCTGCTTGGCGAATCTTTCAGCAGCTGTGCTCATGTCTGGAGATTCGGGACCTCCGGTAGGAGAAGTGGCTGCTTCAGCGCGACAAGGTTGAACAGGAGTCTCTTCGTCGGAGCTGCTCAAACTGCCAGACGAGGCAGACTTTTTGCTCGCGTCTTGCGCCGACAAAGGCAGGTCCATCACGAGGTCTGGTGTGTGCTTCTGACGCATCTCGCGGAACTCTTGAGAACTACGAAATAGCTTGTGATTAGGAGGTGCAGGTGGGTTCAGCTGGGTCTGCGACGTGGCCCTCCTCTGCCAGAGTTCGCGATTTGCCGAGAAGGTTGGCTGCTCTTGCAGCTCCTCGCCTTGGCCTACCGCGTTGTTCGCTTGCAAAGGGTTCGCAGTCTGCTGCACCGAATCCCCCATGCTCTGGGACTTCCAGTGTTGCTTCCTGCTCGTTGCACGCTTCGAACCCCCGTCCAAGCTCATCGAGGAAACGCGTTCAACGTCTTCCACCTCTTCGTTGCACTGTTGCTGCTGATGCACCTCGCTGAACATTTTCTCGGTCTCTCCATTGTTGCTGATGATGACTGGAATCGTATCCTTGGGGTGCTCGGAACCAAACACGTGCTTCTCTTTCTCAGGCGTGCCTGATACCTTCGCTCCTTTGCAATCCTGAAAAAAGTTTTATGCTTATGTGAAATCTGCTGTTTGTTATGAAACGTTGTAATCGATGGAGTAGAATTGGGAGACTAACGACGCTTTTAGAATTACCAACCATTGTTTTCTTGAAATGTAAATTATTTTCTGTCTTGTTACGCGTACGTAGTGCCCTGGAATTGTATCGCAGGCTAGGAAGTGACCAGAACTGTCTGCAATTTATTGGGGGAGCTCCGAAATACCCAATGTGTGCGTGGAATGTTAACTTGTTATTTAGAATATTTCACGTTTCGTGATTAGACTGCAGATCTTTATACAAAATGAAATGTTTGTAAATTTAATTGTAAACATTTAAGCTAAATAGAAATTTATTTTACTTTGGAAATAATATGATACGAATTTTGCTTTCAGTATTAATAATATTTTATATCGAATACAGAATATATGATGATATAATGATAGATGAAAGTACAGAATAATGCAGCTCGGTACAGAATGATACAGAATAATAGAGAAGAATACAAAGTAATACAGAATAGAAGAAAATAATATTTTACTTTCAATGTTCTTTTATATTTTTTCATATTGTTTGGATTTTGTAGTTTCTTGTACATTCAAATTTCCTATGAATGCATAAAGATCTGCAGTCTATGATGATTTACAACTGGACAATTTCGGTGACAGAATTGATATACTGAAGTGATGGTAGAAAAAATTGAATGACACGTTAAGACAGAAAAATATGTTAACAGCGAATACGTTAAGAGACTCTCAAGGTATATGGTTGATTTAAATGTATACCTGCTGCATGCGTTAAACTTGTTACCCCTTTGTATCCTTTGTATCGTAACGAGTTTGTGTAACCTTTGTATATACAGGGTGACTCACCTAAGACTTCTTTTTAAAATATCCGTTGCTTTTGATGGTATAAAAATATAGTAAGAAAAATGTTTAGTTTGGAGGGAATCATGGTGTGATAGGCAAAGAAATTATCTCGAGGCCATCAATGTTTTCTTTTTAACGGGACAGGATTATTTTCATTATTGTAATTTTGTGTGTTAAGGTCAAAAATCTAAGTGTTCGTATAATTATGATACGCATTGTATGTTATTCTCTGAACGAAACAATTTTTCTCTTGAAACATATCTTTGTACAATTAAAAACAACAGAGATATTTTCAGGAGAAGTCTTAAATGACTCACCCTGTAGATATGGTATATATGTGGCTTATAGTTATTAACCGTTTGCACTCCTAAAGGCCAACTGTACCGTCCAAGCGCTTAGAGGCGTTCTACTCCTAACGCCAGCTGTACTGCTCGGATACTTAGAGGGGCGTCCTACTATAAATAATAAAATAAATATAAGATTTTCATTAAACTATATTAATTCATACATTATAATGCTTATGTTTTGGGTTAATCAAGATGTAAAGTTTGAAAAAAAAAAACAAGTAGTATGATCTAACAAATTGGTCAACATTTTCTCGTGGGGTGATTACCAACGTGTAACCTAATCGTTTGGAGTGCAAAGGGTTAACGATGGAATGCAAAAGGTTTTACAGATTTGTTACAAAAGATACACAGATATAAAGTAGTAAAAGCCATATACATACATATACAATATATACAGGATCGGACACCTAAGACTTCTTAAACGTCTTCATTGGTTTAAACGATATGAAAGAATTGGTCTGATATACACTTTCCAGTTTCGAAGAGGCAATGTATCTATACAAAAAATAGGTGGTCATGTTTTATGCGATTTCAGGGTGATTGGTGATTTTTAAGGAGAAGTCTTGGATGACTCGTCCTATATATTACCATACATATCAGAAGTACATAAAATTAGCAGTCCGTTTGTGTTATACAGCATAGTCGCGCAGATTTAACAATAGAATAGGAAAACGTGAGGTGCGTAAGATCGACGTTCATGCCAAGGTAGGATTAAAAACTGCTCGTAAAACTGACAATGAACAGGATGAATACAAGCAGGCAAACGTGTAAATATATATATATAAAAATCAGGCCGATGCGTCACGCGATACCTATCTTGCTACGGATGCCGATAACGAAGTTAAATGTTAACTAGACTTTGAGGGGAGGGTGAGGTGCATATTTTACTCACCTAAGCCAAAAGAATATCCGCTGGATAAGTAGACTCTGCGAGTAGTATTCCCTTTTGGTTTCGTCTATAGACTGAAATTGTTTTATAGAATGCTAGGATTCACAAACCAACCGAACCGTTAAACAGAGGCAGTCCTTCAACGAAACGAAAAACACAAACGACAGAACCACACGACACTGGCAGCAGTTTTATTCGAACAGTTTTTAGTCCGTTTCGGCCACTACCTATGTACGTGAAACTTTCTCGTCAACTAAAGGCTGACTAAACGTATATCTGGAAAAACAGCAACCATCCCAACTATTAACATCGAAAGTCGTGATATCGGTAAAACAACAACAAAACAAAAGAGAAATAAAATATGTGGCGCAAGACAACAAAGGACACAAGGCGAGACAAGACAAAGAGACCGAGGCACATGCAGCAACAAACACGTATATTTCTATTTTATTTACAAATGTATCGTACAAATAATTACAGCTAGTCGAGATGCCGCGATCTCGAGTAAAAATAAACTTAACGTAGCTTTAGATTCGTCTCCAGGTTCACCGGTTCGCTATTTGGTAAAAACAAGATCTCGTCTGATCCTCGAATCACAGACTCTAACCCAACATAAAAAATTGCGCGTCTCGCATTATCAAAATCTGGAACAATATGCTCGTTGTGTAGATTGTTCATTTTATTCCAGCCAAACCGTAGAATTGTCGTTCACACAGACACAGAGTAGTCTGACAGAGGCGAAACTATTTCTTTTTTTGGAATTTTTGGTGCTAATGGGCCCTGTAGTTTCAGGTTGAGGCCGATTCTAAGCAAGTTCAACAACTTTCGACAGTGATTCTAACTAAGGAGTAACAATGTTAGGATAATTTATCATAGTTTCGCCAAGTAAAATTGCCAGCATATGTGAACCCCACAGTTTCCAAACCTGCAACTACTTTTCATACTACTACGTTTCTAGATCTTTGCAAACATTTATCTCTGTTACTATTTATCAGATAGTAGGTAAAAGAGGAAAGAGAGACACTATAGAAATAGTGTATAGTGTAATATTTAAAGTTTAACCCTTTGCACTTGGATGTCCTTGGAACGACATTCTAAATCCAGCAAATTTTGGTAGAGATTACACAGGATAAGCTTTCATGAGCACAAAGAATTCTCAAAAGTGTAATGCTTCCTTGAAGGTTTCCATTCAAATAGGATTAAAGAATAAATCAAAATATGGTAAATAAATATAGGGTGCAGCATTTAAATTGGGAACACCTGAATACCTTCGTAATTATGAAAATAAATTTAGATAGGATTTTTGAATTTGGCGAAGTTAAAAAATTACATACTAGGAAAAATATTGTTAAGATCTGTATATACATGTATGTAATTTTATATATATATTAATAGACCTACACAGGTTTAAGTTCGTAGCCTTTTTATCTGAATAAACAGCAAACAATAGCTAATTTGGTTTGATCATCGCTAGATGACTATTGATTTCAGTGAAAATTCAGCCAAATTGAACCACCAAGAACCGACAATATTTGTTGCAATTTAATCTTCTTCTTAGAAGACACATACTAAGAATCGGTACCTGAAGAGCTGTTTCGCCTCCGTAAAAGTACTCTGCGATACAGCTTCAAAAAAAAAAATAAAAGTTCTTTCGGCTTCCAACGATTCTAATTTTACTAAACAGAAAGCAATGCTGGTTTCTAAGAGGTGCGATATGCAGGCAACGAGTGTCCGCGCCTTGAGAACGGCACTGTGTATTCAAAATCGTTTTCGTTGCTATTGCGTTTAAAGGGGAACGAATAACAGCACAACAGCCATGCACTTATGCCTAGAATTTACATTTTCCGAGTGCGCCGCAAAGAATGTAAAAAAGCAAACGAATTATGAAGAGAAAAAAAATCGAATACGAGTTGTTCATATGCTAAACAGTAGTTTCCAATACCTCTCGACTGATGATCGGTTGCGTGGACGAGATGCAAGAGACGTTTGCAACGACTGCTGGAACGACGCCGCTGTTGCTGCTATTGTCTGTCGCAACTGTGTTCATGGTTGCAGGGCCGTCGGACGTGGTGCCCGAAGACCAAGTAGCTGCATTGCTCGATGGTCCCATCAGCGGTGAATTGTTGCTCGAGAGCACGCTGTCGGCAGAGCTGGACGTTCTTCTTCTCATTGATTCTTCGCTGGACGACTTCAAGAGTTCCTTCTCGCGTTCCTCATCCCTGAACAAACGACGACAAATGTTTCAGGGTATTGAAAGAAGACTAACCGATCTGTACAGAAGCTTTGCAGCAGATGTCCTACTTAGAATTCAAAGAAAAGATCGTTTTATTATTGTTAGATACTGAAACCAACCCATATCCTGTTTCGATATACCAGGACATAGCATTTTCTAATAAAATTTAAGAAATGACTGAGATGTGTCTGTATAAAGAAAAAGAGATCACTACCCCATGCGAAACATGCAAAACTAATAATGCAGAATCTAAATGAGATTATATATTGGTACATGTTTCAAAATTTTCATGAAAAGACCGATCGACGTGATTCATTAAAAAGACCGACTTTTACACCCACTTATTAGATTTTAATACTAGATTTGATACTAGAAGTATAATTTGATGAAAATCGAGTTAAAATTGTTTCTGCGCGCGGTAACGAACGTGTCAAGTTTAGTTATGTGTATTTGAAAAAAAGCATTTGCGCAGAAAATAATTTGCCATTGCGTGTGATTAAGTCGCACTTACTTTATCTTGATCATAATATATTTATCGGGAATAAGCCCTTCTCTACCAGCCAAGGCACCTCGCCACCAGTCATTACTGACTTGTGTGTAGAGAGTCAAGGTATCCCCCTTTTTGAAGCTTAACTCTCTTTCGGACCTTGCATTGAAATCGAATTGTGCTGTGGCTTCGAGGTTTTCAGATTCTGGGAATACACAAAACGAACGTAGATGGCGCTCTATTGGATTCAGAGCTATAGCTCGTGCAATTTATTTCTCTCACTCACCATCCTCGGATGGATACACCTCGGAGTCCATATCTTCTTGAACTTGGTCCGTCGGCGAGTCGCCCACATCTCTGCGTTCAGAAATTGGTTTTTTTTTAAATCAAAATCAAGAATTAACACTTTATCTACCGGAAGGCCTATTTATAGTTTTTAGTTTCAGCTATTACCTCCTGGAATTTTATTAACTATGTTGTTGAACAGATTAGGCTTGTGATATATCAATTAACAATATGTAGAAATTAATGTCAGCTTTGATAAATATACACTAAAATCTTTATAAAATCATTTTCCAAGTTACAGACTTTATATCATACACAAAAATCCGTACATAATTCTTTTGCAAGTTGTAGACTGTTTAAATAGGCCGGTAGTTTAGTGTTAATATATAGTCAAATCACAAAGTTAGGAAGTGTAGACTTACACGTCATCCGGTTCTCTACTAATATATTTTTCGTACTGAGTACCTCCAATGTCCTCTGGGAATATCTCTTCGCAGAAGGTGATGATGTTTTTAATCAATTCGTTTACTTGATTTTGGTACTGCACTTGATCCTTATCTTCGGGTACTGGAACCAATGTGGGACCAAAGCAGATGGCCAGGTTGTACGGATCCATCATGTTCTCGTCCGAAAATTCGGAGAGGCTGTTAGAAAAAGGAACGTTTCTTCGTTAATGCAGAAGAGTAAAACGTGTTATCGGTTCTATGTCTGTATAAATTTGTTTACAATTGGTTAAGATTCTAATTGGCTTAAACCTTTACAATAAAATTGTAATAACTCACTGAATACTCACTGATTGAGAAAGGCGAAAAGATATCGCATTACAATGACCACCGGTCTTGGAAGACTCGATATCAATTCTTTCATCTTGTTAACGAACTCCTGCTTCGATTCCAACTGCGCCAATTCCATAAGGTGCTCGAAGTAAATGATAGGAAAAAGGGGTTCCCTCAATTCCCTCAAATAGAGCTTCAACACGCCAGCAACGCTGTTAATATCCGACGCATCTGTCACGTCGGCTAAAGGATCCTCTCCTCTCTCAAACCACTCTCGGAAGTTGTTGATTTCCACCTGCGATCCAGACACTCGGAAGATACCTTGATGATGAAGTCCATAGAGATTTATCACTCTGATGCAGCTCTTCATGATCAGGGGTATTTCTTGGTTCGTGCTTTCCAAATATTCCTCCAACGAACCACCAAACAATTTCGGCTGACCGTTCATCTGGAGTCGACCAATTCGTTTCCTCCTGGCCTGCTTCTGCTTTGTTGTCGATATCGACGTATTCGCACTCGCTGTAGAGCCATCCAACAAGCTCTGTCGTATGTATTCTTGCTTCGCGTCCAATCTAGCTATTCTTGATGTTCCAAGAAGGTATTCCCGGAATTTCTGTAAAAATTCAGTGAACATGTTACTTTTTATTCGTTCAAAATTAGATTGCATTTAACATCGCCGTGTAATTTTAAACCGACGAGGGTATAAATTAAAATGTAGCATTAGTAACAAAATACGACCAGTGTCCAAAAAGTTGTGTATTTTTAGAAGTAATCAAAATTATAGAGAAACTATCAGGTGATACTATAGTTACGCTGTACAGTGTATTAGTATGTCATTTGACTCTTGAAGATACTAGCTGCTATCATCTTACATCTGACAGACTCGATTAATATCGACCAACTAAATTTTGTTTCTCTCGATAAGCTGATAGTGGGACATACCGTGAGGTAGAATTCTTCTGTTTCTTGTCTATCGGCTCTAAGCTTAATTTGCAATGTTTCTGGAGGTCTCGAGGTAGGTACAGCGTTCTCTCCAAAATATCTGGAGCAATCGTAGTCTTTTGCAGTCAACATTTCTAAAAGGCTGGCTTCTGCCGTTTCCAAAGTTTTCCAAACTTCTTCAGACTCGGTTCTTAAAGACGTTACTCTTTGTTGCAATTGCGTTAGTCGTTGTTCCATCTCGGTATGCAATAATTTTTGCAATTCGGGCTCAGGAGTCTGTAACAATAAACATAACACATAACATAAATTTCTATATTGAAAGAGTTAATCGAGTCAAAAATTTTAGGAAACACTTGTAAGTGTAACAAAAAATAAAGATTAAAACTTTGCAGTTTCAAAAACGTTCATTCAGCATGCTACGTGAATTTTCAAACTTGCAAACTTTCGATCTTTCACTGATTCACATTTTGCTATACTTCAAGTCCCGACATAAACTTAAATAATGAGTTTAAAAAAAAATGAAAAGTTCCTTGCCATAAGTACCTCGTCCCCTCGTTGCCCTTGGAATTCGAATTTTTTTGGAATCATAAAAGCAGCATGGTGAGACTCCAGAAACCTCTGCTTGTCTGCCCTGGAGTCCAAAGCACCAACACAGGCAGTTAATTGTTCAGCACCTGACTGTAACGAACGTTGTCTGCCTTCCTCGGCGCTGCAATGCATCAACAGCGCCCTGGCAATGCAATTGTGGAAACCGAAATCCATGCACTGGAAAAATAATATGAGTGTTAGCAGTGATTGTACGGGTACAATCATAAGAGAGAGAGAGATATCTATCATATCTGACTTTTTTGTAAAATAAAGTTCCCAAATATAACTTACATCTATGAGATCCGACAGGTCATCCACAAAGTACTTGTGTATCGTCGTATTCGATGCCTCGAGACACAAAATATATTCGTTTCGCGCTTTGAGCGCCTTCAACTTCGCCTCTTGGTACTTGCTCTTTCTCTGAAATAAACAATTAAACCAAGTTTAATCTACATTCTATTTAAAGTAACAATACTATTAATTACTCTTATCCATAAACAATACCTATGCAGTACTATGTTTCTATTTTATTCATTTTAAGGATAAAGTATCTAAGCTTCAGAAATTGGTATAGTGTTCTTTGAATGAAATATGATTTCTTACATTGTAAACTATAACTGATAAAACGAAATAAATTTTTGGGGCAACCTAATCATTTTTACCCTTAACGCTAGATGGTATGAAACATCTGAGCTTGATTCTAGCATACCTTGTTTACTTCCTTCTCGATGAGCTTGTATTTCTTGCTGCGCGCAAGCTTCTCAGGTGGAGCGATCGCTACCTCGAGTTTGGTGCGCTGCTGCTCGGCGACGCGGAGTTTTGTCTCCGCTTGCCTCGACTCCGCCTGGTAAGCCTGGTATGTCTTCATCGTTGTATGGAGCTCGTGTAGCACTCGGAGGATCTCCTCGTGTGTCTCATACCCTATTTCACGGCACTGAAAAACGAGAGTAACCCGTTACAATATTTACAAGAATATAATTTTGTTTTGTGACTAAATTAAATTTCAAGTTTCAAATTTTTCTAATTTTAAGTAGTTCCCATTCTTGACATTAAATACAGCCACAAAATCTCATATACTGTCACCGCAGGTATCGATTCACATGCAAGTTCTGTATTCTTGCGTTTTGTTTTGAAATTCATTGGGCAAAATATTAATTTAATCCTTTCTATAAGTTTTGGATAAAGTATATATACACTTACACGCTTGTATATCCGTTGTACATCTTCCATCACCTGATTGAGACGACCCACGAGGTGCGTACTGTAGACTTCTGAAAGAGCTGCATGATCTCTGCTCAAGGATTTTGTCTCGTTGATGAGTTGCTGCCAGCAGGCGTAGCTGGAGAATAGAGGCCACTGTTCCCGCCTAAAAATTGATTTAGCTTAGATAGAATTTTGAAACTCTCGGTGAGAATTGATCGGTTCACGATACATTCGATCTTTCTAAACAATTTTATACATTCCTACTTATATTTTCCTCGAGAATTTGTAAAAGAAGTATACTCAAGAGAATACTTAAGTATTATTCTCTAAGAATAACATTTATGAAACTGATGCACAAAACCTTTACAATGTCCTCACATTGAACAACTTTTGCTCAAATACAAGTGCTCTAGTGTTACCAATGGTAAAAATTGAGAATTTAAATGATGCGTATCATATGTAGTAAGTTATAAAGCAAGAAATTTGGTAGATGTTTGAAAAATCAATGTTGATAGCAGAATACATACTTTTGTTTCTGCTCCTTGTGCCTCAGCTGTATGCTTCTGGCCATTTTGTCGAGAGACTTGCTGTAATCGAGCTCCAACTCTGCTCTCTTTCGAAAAAAGTCCTGCAGCTCTGCTACAAGAGCAACTTGCGCCTCCATCCTGATATCGAGACATCTCAGCTGCTCGTTCAGCTGCAGCCGTATATCTGCAAGAGAAAAAAAAAAATAAGAAATATAAAGATCTATTTTGTTAATTGTTAAATAGAATTGATTTAATACATCTTTTATTTTTGGTTTTATCCTCAAGTAAACTTGAAAGTCAGTAGAATCTTTAGAACGAATGCAGTTTATAAAAAAGCTCTATAAATAAAGCTGTTACCATAAGTAAATTCTTTAAAGCTTCACCGTTATCTTTACAAAGAAAGCAGTTTATAAGAAAATTCTATAAATAAGGCTGTGAATGTAAATAAATAGATATACAGAAATGTTTCTTTAAAGTTTCACCACTATCTTTACAAAGAATTCAATTTATAAGGAAATTCTATAAATAAAGCTTTCAATATAAATAAATATAAATATAAATAAATTCTCCAAAGCTTAGTCGCTGATTGATCTGGAAATATACTAGTGATATTCTTTCATCTTTCTAATGAAAGATCTTGAAGAATGATCTTTCCTCAAGTATCGACCCCCCCCCCTTTTTTTTTATAAATCCCGAGAATTTTCTCCTCAAATTCACCGTAGAACGTATCGATTATCTATACTACCATGGTGTGTGATTCATTCCCCAACTGGAAAGGGGATTCCCAAGCCTACAAAGGGGCTAAAACGCATTAATCGAGCCGTCTACGCCTATAAGGAGGTAAATAAACGCTCTTTGCTGCACGCATGTTATGTCAGAGTACAGGTCGATCAAAAAGCGAGCGAAAAAGATGGGAATAGATGTTAGGTTAACATGGTAGCCTAAATCCAAAATTGGTCTCATGCTTCCACGAGTTTGTGAATAAACATTATTTTTCAACAAAAGTATTTCACCGTAACGATAAATGAATTCTTTGTGTTTAATATGAGGGCCATTATTTTTATTAGGAGAGACTTGATAAAAAAATCTCTTGTTTTTACTATAATAAATTTAAAATTAGCTTTATTTTTATTTCATCGATTTGAAGTTTTTGAAAAAGGATAACTGTAATGTCAGCTCCATTATTTTTATTAGGAGAAATTTCTTACGCTTTTTAATTTAATTAATTCAAAATTATCTTCGTTTTTATTTCGTTCATTCGAATTGATAGGAAGTTTTTCAAAATGAATAATTTTAGAACACTCGAAAAAAGAAATTATGTTTTCTCTGAATATGTATCGTAAATAATAACGACAAACCTTCTTTTCAGTTTCTACGGATTTTCTTTCGAATAAAAATAATTTCAGTTTATACAAAAAGTTATCTAATCGGTTTTTTCCTTAATGTTTTAAACAAATGTGTTGTTTTTATACCACGAACACTAATTAATTGAAACGATCGGTAATCGAATATTCGGTAGCGCGATACGATTAACGTAGTGTGAAGTATGACTATACAGGGTGTCCAAAAAATGTTGGAAGTCGTTGAAAGGGGTGGTTCGGGGGGTGATTTGAAACAACTTTTTCCTTAGCAAAAATGTTGTCCGAGGCTTCGTTAAGGAGATATTAGCAAAAAAAAAGCCGACCAATCAAAGCGCGAGGATGCTGGTGGAGCGGCTGCGGTAACGTACGCTACGTGCTAAGCGTCCGACCAATCAGAGCACGAGTATTCAGGTGGAGCGTAGGCTACGCGCTAGGCGGCCGCTCATAGGTTACCGTGGGCGCTCTACCGGCATGCTCGGACTCTGATTGGTCGACCGCCTAGCGCTACACCGCGATACGCGCGCTCTGATTGGTCGAGGTTTTTTGTTAATATCTCCTTAACGAAGCCTCGGACAACATTTTCGCCAAGGAAAAAGTTGTTTCAAATCACCTCCCGAACCACCCTTTTCAAGAACCTCAAATATTTTTGGGACACCCTGTATAGATTATTCAGCTGAAAAATAGCGATGGCTAATTAGAATCTGGTTATTTCGTAACTGATTAGAGGGTCTCTAGACTGGAGTAGCAAGACTGTTTACAAAACATTCCGTGCGCATTTCTATCCTGACACACAGTACGTGTTCGTCTCTATTCACTTCCAAGTGAAAACATACTCCCTTTATGAACTAATTGACTCGAACTTTGACTTTGACCAGGACAGGGATTAAACTAATAATTATTTAATTATAAAAACGATTTGTAAACGGCTACGCCATTTACCTTTCGTCAAAGCTTCCCATTCTTGACGTCCAGCGAGCTTGAACATTTTTCTGCGTTATCCGTCCACGGTTGATGTTGCTATCTTCCTGCGCTCACTTTTTTTCGCACCGTACCCCAATCGTGTATCGTCGCAGCAGATCGCACACAACACGTTCACCGTATTTCGGCAATCGTAATCGACACGCGTTACATCCAGTTTTAAGAAATCTGCCAATTTCGGTTGGTAGCTAGCGTTGCACCCGAATCACTCGTGGAGATCTCTGATATTCCTCGCACTCGACACCCGATAGCAGATCTAGATTTCGTGATTATTGTCAACTGTAGACTCGTCTACACACGGATGCAATACGTTTACAGTGGAAAGGGAAACACGATGCGAAAGCAGAAGAAAGTAATCTAATCGCAGATTTATTATGTAATGGGTTGATAATGGAGCGATAGCGTGTGACGCGTGCTACATGTTTGAGAATCGATAATGATAATGACGTTGGTAAATATTTGTGGTTGAATGAATTGTAGCTTTATGGACCTGAAGATTTTATTGTTTTCGATTGATTTGTTTTAGTTATCCATGGTGGAAGAATTTACAATTTTAACACTTTTTTGAGAGTGTCTTGAATCGATAAACAATCAACAAAAAAGGAACACGATGGTTTGTTACAAGGGCAGTGTCCATCAGGTTGAGACTTGGGTGCACATAGATTCGTCATAATGGAAATCAGAATGAGAATTTAGAAGGTTGCCAATTTAACGTAACAAAATGTCGAATAAATATTTCTACTTAAACTATAATTATAAACAATTGAATGTAAAGGTAAAGAATTAATTTCTGCACCTAATCAATTGATACGTGACTTTCTTATTAAATTTAAAAAAATAATATTAAAGAATATATGTTCAGTGTGCACATTGTTTAATTTTTAATTGAACACAGTAGATCCTAGATTATTGTAGGTATTCAAGATTTATCATTCAAGGTTTAACAAGGTTTATCATTCCATTATAATCAATATTCTTTCATTTCATCATATTGTCTGTCTAATGAAATTTTTAATACAGTTTCCTAGATTGTGGTACGAAATCCTCCTGGAGGAGCCTTGATTAGTGCAGAGAAAATTGCTGCAATAATGAAGGTAGCTAATCCAGTAAGATTAACAGAACTTATCCCCACTACCATCCACGAGTTGACTTGCTTGGCGACCAATCTTTCCACTTGTCGACATTGTACAACAATCGAGGCTCGCGTGCAATGATTAAGGTTGCAACAATTTACCTCTCGAGGGATATTGACGCGTATGTGTATCAGGCTGTGCCATTTCAGAGCAATATTGTTTTTGTAAAGTGCTGACTGGAGAACTGATAGTAGATGACAACACAAATATTTATGTGCAAGATAAAAAATGTCTACCTCAATTACAGACTTGGCTTGTCGAAAAATACGATTTTCTATTTTAAATATACGAGAAAACATTTTTTTCTCCCTTCCAAAATAATGTTCATTAAATGTACAATTTTTAATTACAAAAATTAAGAAAAAAATGAAGTGCACAAAATTATATACAAAAAAAGAAAAACCTTGTAAGCAAAGTTTGTACGAATAATATTTCTCGAATTAGAAAGCTTTGAATCAAATTTTTAATTAAAACTGGTGCGAAATCACCTAAGAAAACCAGTTTTTCGGAAATAATTCGTCAAATATTGGCTTTTATAAAATTATACATAGGTGCACTTTTTTGGAAAATTAAATTACCTACAAAATATGTTACATACAAATTTTCTATAAAATCGATCCTTTTTCAGATATTAAGCAATTTGGTTTTTTCTTTTATTAACATGTCTGAAATTTAAGAAAATTAGTTTTTCGTAAATAGCTTATGAAATTATAATTTTGAATTTAAATAACAATTATATATCAATCTTATTTTTTCATCACAGGAAATGAATTCCTTTGAAAAGACACTGAGAAAATAAATATAATGACAAGATAATACAAAATACGACAAGCCTGTAAATGAGATAAAACTTGTTACCTTCCACGAAAATTACTTTTCGTGTGCGTTTGCTTTTATATTAAAATTACCATTACTTACAATCCCAATGGGTTATAAAAATAAAATAGATACCATACCAAAGTGAAAAAGCATATTTGTGTATTAAAAATGTACGCATAAAAATTTCTTTGTTTCGTGTATATTCAATTACAGCAAAATAAAGATGCATTTAATATTTACTTGCGATACCCGAGGACCTAACGTATTTGTAAACTTGAACTTTTTCCGTGAGTAACGACGTCCGCGTAGAAAAACATCGGCGAATTCCTAGTAAAAATCAGCTTTCGAGAGGGGGGAAAAAAAAATGTCGCTTTGAGAGAGTTTAATGTTTCGAAGTATCTTTTCATGGTCAACAAAGCGTACAAAGGTTCTGCTTTGGAATATTATCAGAGAAACTTGAAAGCGCAGTGGCATAAAAAAAACTGTAGCTCCTGTGAGCTCCCGGCGCCCGTTATAGCCTGAGAAAGGATTCTGTTAATAGAATGCAACTCTCTCGAACGGCAAGTTGCCATATCGCGAGCTTATGCTTCGCGATTATCGGTTCTGATCGGCTACAGATAATGATGCACGTTGTTGCGTAAACTTCTCAAAGAGCAACGGACACAGTTTTCACAGCGCGATGGCTACGCAGAGAATTATTTTTAAATTGCCTTCAAGTATGGCCTTAATAGACCGTTTTATATCATGGAGGAACGGAAACACCCAAATGCTGCTTTCGAACTGACATTCTAACCCGTAATCTTGTTTTTCCAGGTTGCAAATCGACGATATTTAACACGTTTAGCGACGCGTGAATATTTACGAACATTTCTAGGGGAATCGAACTTTGTTTGGGGACTATTGAGACTTAGGGAATTATTTATTTTTATAACGTTAGCGGAATTCGTGAATATTAACCGGATTTCTTTTCTTTAACATCTCGCATTAGAAATTGTGTTATACAAGGTGTCCCAAAAATGTTGTAACATATTGAAAGGGGTGGTTCGGGAGGTGATTTGAAACAACTTTTTCCTTAGCGAAAATGTTGTACGAGACTTCGTTGAGGAGATATTAAGAGAAAACCTCGACCAATCAGAGCGCGAGGATGCCGGTGGAGCGCCAGAAGTGGGCGTGGCTACGCGCTAGGCGGCCGCGCTCATACGCTACCGCGGCCGCTCCACTGGCATACTCGCGCTCTGATTGGTCGAGGGTTTTTCGTTAATATCTTCCCAACGAAGCCTCGAAGAACATTTTCGCTAAGGAAAAAGTTGTTTCAAATCACCCCCCGAACCACCCTTTTCAAGGACCGTCAGCATTTTTGGAACACCCTGTATAGTAAAGTCCTGTCATCCACATGTGGGCGACGTGACGGTGAGGTGTTAATAATGTGATAAGCCACGTTAGGGGGTCAAATATTAAGGATATATTGTACTTCACAGCTGTAAGCAATTAATAACGAATGTCAAAGCTACATTTTCTTGGTTTTAAGATTTCTGAAGTTTAAATCGTAATATTTTAATATTTTAAGCTGTCGGTAATTTCCTAGATAAACTCGTTATTTTTGTAACTAGTACTTGTAACGATTCGATAATAATTAAATTCACAATTTTTCGATTTTCTTTTCTAAATATACCCGAGATACTTCAATGATAAATAAATTATAATCGTTTAAATAATATTAAATCATTCATTTTATATAAGTATACTCAACATTCTTCTAACGTTATTTCAACAAAACATTAATTATAATCAATTCAATAGAACAATAATTACTATCAATGTCATTCGTTTTGTACGTATAATGTTCTTCGACATTCACCAAAACAATTTCACTGAAATTCTCAATTCGTACTAAAACTTTCTGTTTCAATGTGATTCTTACTTTAAAAAAAAGGTACACTTATTTACGTAAACAAAACATTGAGTCGATAAATTTTCATTTCATTTCCAAAACAACGGTCCTGACTCTTCCACAGGCAAGAACCAAACAACTAAATAGATACCGTAGTAAACAGATCGGATCAGATATCGTCCTAACCAGATAACCAAGTAGACATTCGAAACAAATCCAACAAATCGTTCAAAAATTTTAAATTGCCTTATGGTCGCTTTGCATGCAAGCATCTCCCCGAAAATCTTTGTAAACGTCTCACATTTCTACTTTGACCAGAGAACGTTAAACTCGGCCAAACTTCACTAAACACACATCACCCAATGTCGCACGGAACACGAGAAACAGAATTGTTTTGATCAGCGAACTTCTAACACGAGGGCACTCGCATGCAAGTTCGGTAATCGTAGCCCATTGTGAAATAACGTTCACTATAAACGCGTCCTTTCTCCGGTCACGCCACAACTCACTGCTCGTACCACAAATCACACACCAGTATGGCTTTCGCGACAGAAGGTACGGTTGACGATCGGTCAATATGTCGACTTTGCGGGAAAAAAACAACTCGCGAACACGACTACGACACAGTATATGAGGAACGCTGGCCGAAACGCGACTGCGAACCGAACGCGACCGTCGAGACTCGATGGAAACCGATTCCTGTCGATAGATGGCGTCGAGGCGACCCTGGTCGTTGCTCCTTCGTAGCTAATGGGACTGTTGAGATATCGAAAGACAACCCTTGATGAGTTCTAATTGCTGATAAGGGACTCGAAATGGGATTTTTATTGTACAATCGAGGGTTCGGAGGGAAGATGGCCGGGTCTAAGATGTCGAGATGTTAATCTAGATCGTAGCATATGGGAAGTCAGCACTCGATAGGTTATATTGGCGGAAAATATTAGGTTGTCTCAAAAGTTTCTTTCGCTTTATTAATAAGTAATACATGCACAATATTTTATGTTTTATGTTACATTACTGAATTGTCCACGATTCATTTTGCTCCATTACCGTTACAACATGAATATCTATGAAATTAGATTGCCTATTTATATAAACACGATCACACCAAATAATTGAGTGCAACTCGCGAAAAAAACTTTCGGGACAACCTAATACTTCGAAACGAAATTCTCTCGTGTAAATACGTATTCAGATCTGAGATGTCGAGATTTAATTTAGGTCGTATGGCAAGTGTCACTATTTGACGTATTAAAACTGGCGAGAAGCATTTGAAATTGTAATTTTCTTGTATAATTAAAGATTCAGATGTACGAAGTTGAGATCGAAGATACAATCGAAGATAAGATCGAAAGTATACTAACACTTGGATTTTGGAGGTTTCGGTATCTTAAGGTAGTTGTTTCGTGGATTTATTTAATGTAGGATTTTACCTAAACTTCACTCGATTGTTATTTGAATGCATATGAATTATATCAGCCTACCTCGATTTAACCGTCACTGTTTTAAAATAAACAATATATAAAAATTGTATAATTTCGACACAGCTTCTTACGGAACGTATAGATCACCGCGAATTTGGTAGCTACACACTGAAATTAGAAAAAGTTCTTAAAAAAAAAAAATTTTAATATTGCGAGTTATCGAAAAGGAGCAACGAAATCAGCAAAGATATAAACGGATCACCCGAGTAAAGGAAATCAGTAGCGACATAAACGAATGATCTCAATAACCCTATGAAGTAGAGTGCTGAAATGAGAAACTATCGACAGGACTGAATGTGAAACAATGGCGTAGAGTCTTGTATAACATTGGCCGACCAGTCGAGAGGGAACTTTGCCGCGTCAACTGACCAGTAAGGACAGGCAGTTGTGACTGTCGTTAAATTAACGACAATTACCAGCAAGGCCTACACGCACGCGCCTTCCTCTCTACGCCTACTGGATATATTATCGCACGATATGTATATTCCATGTACGTGCACACATCCGTCTTAACTTTGTTACTTTGTGTTGCGTTTACACTTGCGCGTGCGGCTTTTAAACCTCGACGACATTTTCGCTTGGGGTGAGCTGACGACGATTTCGAGATTGAGAAACTTCCGAGGGAAAATTATTTTAGTTGTATTGGAATTACGTAATAATTGTGTTAACCCTCTACGCTCGAGTGGCGCCTCTAGGGCGACATACGTAATTCAAAAGTGACCTTTTCGAACGTACTTTGATCTTTATTTTTTTCTGTTTATTCCTCCATCAGTAGAGATAGAGACTTGAGACTTGGCACAGATTAGTCTTTTTTTATAACCTATTGAATATATCATGGCAAATCGAAATCGGTCTTAGGGTGCTTTTGACCTCCTTGACCGGATATATTTTTTCACTTATTGTTGTTAGAATTGCCTTCGAAGTTCTCGACCCGTTCCCATTACGATGAACCTACATATACTATGTATACACAACTCAAGTCTCAATCTGATGACCATTGCAGCTTGTGTATTTATACAAAGTTTGGTAAACAACAAATTTATAAAATTATATATCGTATATTATATATATAAAAATGTACACGTATTATTTTTGTTACATTAACCTTCCAAGTTTTCAATCTGATTTCTACGATATTTCTATGTATCTATACAGGATGTCCCAAAAATGTTGTAACACCTTGAAAGGAGTGGTTGGGGAGGTGATTTGAAACAACTTTTACCTTAATGAAAATATTGTCCGAGGCTTCGTTGAGGAGATATAAACGGAAAACACTGACCAATCAGAGCGCGCGTATCGCGGTGTAGCGCTAGGCGGCCGACCAATCAGAGCGCGAGGATGCCGGTGGAGCGCTCGCGATAGCGTATGAGCGCGGCCGCCTAGTGCGTATCCACGCCTACCGCGGCCGCTCCAACGGTATCCGCGCGCTCTGATTGGTCGAGGGTTTATCGTTAATATCTTCCTAACGAAGCCTCGGAGAACATTTTCGCTAAGGAAAAAGTTGTTTCAAATCACCTCCCGAACCACCCCTTTCAAGGTGTTACAACATTTTTGGGACACCCTGTATACACAACGGAAGTCTCAACCTAATGGCCACTACAATGTATTTTATCCACGAATTTTGGTAACCAACAAAATATTTACTTTTTTGGGTTCTCGAAATTATGACCTTTATCATATTCGTAAGAAACGACACGACAATTTATTATCTGCATTGTGACGTCATTTATATTGAAAAAATTGCATCATTTATTTGTATAATACGTGTACTATTATACATATGAAAATATTGACGTTCCACAATTATTTGTTACGCGAAGTAACAATTCTATAAACGGAAAAAAAAATTTAACCGCCCTGGGGATCGAACACGAGTCAAAAAACACATGCATCCCAAGTAGCCTGCGTCTTACGATTAGACACCGCAGCTATTTAAATTCTTATTCACTTCTTTGCAATTTTGATATAGATGTCTCTCACTCGTACAGTATTTTATATATATATTTTTTTTTCTCTCAAAACCGAGGAGGCATTGACACAAATCCTTTTGCACACAATGCTTGTTAATGTTCTAGAATAACCTAAAATGATTTCATCAAAATCAAAATCAAAATCAAAATCAGATCCGTAAGGTTCCCTTGTTAATTAAATAAAACAATATTTTTAAAAAAGTTCTACGCGTTTAAATCTAACGCATTTGTATCTTCAAAAGCTACGCGAACGTTATCTGGTTTCTGATATTTTATTGGAGATTTTCGGCCATTTTTTCCTGTACCCTGTAATTAAGTTGACACTAGAAGCGAAAGGGCAAATTTTTCGCACACGACATGCACGCAAATTGATATGCAGCGCAACGTTTCTCTATCAACTTCCTTCCTGCACGAATTGAAGGGAAGCGTTAAATGGTTATTGCGTCGTTGGCTCGGTTTGCTTTTCGTTATCTCAATTCTGATACACACGGACTGGTCACAATTGTGCCGCGGTTCGCGTGTAAGTGACCAAGCTAGAAACTGCGGTGTAATACGAGGCCAAAAGATAGTGCGATGTCCTCTGGATAGACCCGCAACGAAAATTTAGTCGATTACGTATCGAAAGGAAACAAAAGGAAATTAAATAACATCAGATAGATTCACTGTTACAGTGATAAAATCAATTATTAACGTTTCATCTGTTTATTTAGAAACGGTCTGGAATTTAAAAAAGAATTTTGTATATAAATATTTAGAAATTAAATAATATTAGACCGTTTCACTTTTACAGTGACAAAATGAATTATTGACATTTTATCTGTTTATTTAGAAACGGTCTGGAATTTAAAAAAGAATTTTCTACGCAAGTGTATGGTAATATAGGGTGACTTTAATTCTTTCATACCGTATTAGGTATACATTGTAAGAATTAGCTGGTCGGCGTTCTTTGCAGGCACACGAGTAGTATCGCCCTTTTGGCGGCACGCAACTGTTGTCGCTCTTTTGTTTAAAATGTTTAGCAGAGTGTCGTGTCATCAACAATAGATTTAGCGAAAGTCGGTCGTTCGGAATAAAAGTAACATTAACAGGAATTTATGTTGATTTACGAAAATAGAAGTGTTTTCAAAACGATGAAGATCATAGATCGAAATTATTGAAATTCCTCTTTACTGTAGTTTGTAAAAATTGAAGTTTCGGAATATGCATTTATTTTTTTTAAAAAAAAAGGACATGGTAATAATAGTTGAAGGAAAATGTTTGTTTCGAACTATAGACATTAGAGCGATACCTAAGTCTCGGTCTCGAACGATTCCATTAAAATTGTAAATTTCATTGGGAAACGAAATGGCATGACTCCTGGAACAGAGTAGATATGCGAGCGCGACGATGGTCGTGGGAAATGGTTTATTCAATGGAACAGAACAATTCAGCACACTCTTACAGTTAACCATCTGAACTTGGTATGACGACTATAATTTATTTTAAATTTATCAATTTATTTTGCTGCGACAAGTGCTCGAAATAAATCGTAGGAAAAAGATTACGTAACATTTTTAGATAGTTGAATTTAAATTACAACTAGACTGCGTAGTTCGTGCATTTACGATTTATAGTACCATGGAAAACGTTCAAAAAATATAGATAATGTGTGTGAAATATATTCTACAATTAATATATAATAATAATATTTTTATTCCGTTTTCCATAAGTGCACATACCCTTTGGTTATGTTTGCCATGTATTTATTGTGTTAGTTTGTATCATAAATGCATAAAATTCACATTCACGAATCATTGAGTGTGTTTTTATATTTTTACATAACTTAATATGTTTTGTGCGCGCCCTGTATACTCGGATAGAAATAAATAAATACGCAAAATCGTTAATGAAAAATGTATACAACGGCTGAATATTTTAATAATTAAGGGGGATCTGATAAAACAATTACCGCGCTTCAATGGAAATTAAATTACTGTTCTACCTACGCTGCTGTTCTCTTCGCATCGTTAGAACAGTTAATTCGCGATACCTGTACGAGAATGGATAAACAATGAACAATACAAACTGCATTAAATCTGAGGTTTTCAATCGACGCAAATATTTGCACTGTCTTGGAATTTAGAATGCAATTTCCAGTGCGTTCAACTTTAGAAGAAGTAGGAAAAAGCGACAGAAAGAAAGACTGTGAGAACGCTATCCAGTACGATTTTGATCGTTTGATAAAAATGAAGGAAATGAAAGAATGTTAAAATGAAGAATGTTTTGTAATTAAACACGTGACTTGATTTTACCTCATTAAAGGATAAAATTCAGTAATTGTTCTCCGTTAATAATTCTTTGTATAATTTGGAAATTAATTCCGTGCGTTTGCAAGGTAAATTTATCTTATTTATTTATATATTTTATTTAAGGAAAAATCACGCAAGTTTTAATATTTCTTTAGTTAAACATTCCAAAGAATGTACACAAGTATACAAAAGAATATGTACGTATAGTTCTTACTATCAGAAAAGAAATCCCTGTTATTTTAACGTACATTATTATTTACCAAGTACTGCATTCAAACAGAATTAGATAAAAAATCTTCATCGATTCGCGACCAAGCAAATTAATATGTAAATATATTTCGGAGACACGCGTGCAAAATGAATACAAAGACAAATGAAATATAAACGAATACGATAACTTCCCTACAAATCGGTAAGTTAAAAATGGATCACGTAATAAAAAAATATTTCAAAAACAAAATATACTTTCGTTCAAGTTTTAAATGTATATCCGTATATACATATAAATATGAATTTGAATAAGCATCCGCGGTCTCACGATAGCGTTAACCGCATTTATTTGACTAACGATAACGACAAGGTTAACGCCAGGAATTTGTATTTATTTGCAAATTGTTTCGAGTATTTTATCAAACGACGCTGCCAGCCCGTTATCCAAGATTATTTATTATCGTTTGTTTTTTCTTGTTTCATTCCAAGTACGTTCCTACGTAACAACAGAAATTCTATACGTTTAGAATGACGTTCGCAGAGTGTGCATGTGGCGTTAGGTGTTCCTGCCG